TCAATTTAAAATTTAAAATTTGATCCTATTAAATTTTGATATCTAAATTTAGAAACATGTTATGCATATTAATATAATATAATTCATTTTTAAATTTAAAGATTAATATTTAATAAAATGAATTTTTTTATTTGCTTGCATAATAAAAAGGCACCCTCTCTAATCTCTTACCCAACTTCACCCATATGACATGCAATTCAAATTTAAAATCTTTTATTTACCCTGAAAGAAATCTATTACTAAATTATTTAAATTAGTAGCTAATAAAATAAATTTTTAAATTTTAAATTAAATTTTAATTAACACATTTAAACGCTCTTTAATACGTGCGTAGGCTAGACAAACCTTGTGTACATTATAAAAGAGGAAATCAGCTTGCTCAGGCGGCATATCATTCACCCATCGTTGAAATCCAAAGAAAATCCATGTTAGTAAATGGCGAAACGCGGACTTTCAGGAGTAAGGCAGTTCGCAAACCTGGGCCTGTTGTTGCGTGAAGTTCTGATCCTCTTTTTGTATCGGTTTTTGTTGTTTTGATCCAAGATGATTGTCTGTGTTTCTATCTTAATTGATTTTGTGGCCTTCTTACAAACTATTGGCGTTTTGGTTCATCATCCCTAAATTTTTATCCATTAATTTCAGGGAAAAGAAATTGAAAATGAACCATGATTGGTTTACACTCCACCGTACCACACTCCCGTTGCGCACTCTTTTTTTTGTTAACTTCCGTTAGTTACCATTACACTATTACCGTACCAGTTCCCACTTTCTTCCTTTTTTTCTTTTTTTCTTTTTTTCTTTTTTCTGTTTTCTTTTTTTTTTTTTCACCCAGGTTCTCCAAAGAGAACCCAGACTTGGGTTCTTCTCGGAGAACCCAGATCGGAGAACCCATCTAGTTCTCCACGAGAACCTAGTCTGGGTTCTCAAAGAACCTAGATCAGGTTCTCCAACAGAGCCCAATCTGGGTTCTCCGTTCTCTAGGAGAACCCAAATCGGGTTCTCTAGGGGAACCCAAGTTTGGGTTCCCAGATCGGACCCAGATCTAGGTTCTCCAAGAACCCAGGTCGGGTTCTCCAGAAAAATAAAAAAAATAAAAAAATAAAAAAAGAAAAAAGAAAAAAGGAAGAAGGTGGGAACCTGGAGAGGGTTGGCAATTGTCTTACAGATGATTAGGATAAGGATGGAGGTGAGGAGGAAGATGGATCTGGTGAGGACGGAAAGGGTAGGGTGAGTCAAGAGATGGCTGAAGCAGTGGTAATGAAGTTAAGTGTAATTAACGGAAAAATAATAGAAATTGAAGGGTGTAACGGGGTGTGGTACGATGGAGTGTGCATGCATCATTATCCATTGAAAATAGATGAGGACTGTAGCTCAAAACAGAAAAAGTCATCAGAAGTTGGGAACGATCCTGGTTCTGAATATATTCGGTTCCACAAACATATTCACGACAGTGATGTAAGTCTTTTATCTTTCTTAATTACATGTTAGTGTGTCATATGTCTATACATCCATGTGATTTGATTTCGTATCTCTAGAGGGCTTTGATGCGGATGCCGTGCTGCCTAATGACATAATTTCTTATTTTGGTGTTTTCAATGACCTCAACAAAGTGTGTTGTTCCTCAAACTTTAATCTTCATATCTGCTATATATAAATGTTGTTTATTGGCTTCCTTCTTTGCATTCCA